TGAAGCTTATTATATCTATTATTCTAGTAAGTGTTAAAGATAATATTTCAAAGAGAAAGTCTTCTGAGTATTCAAAACCTTGATGAAATGAGAATATCATATCTAAAAGGAAACAATTGACTACTGTTAGAAGAGATTGAAAGAATGATATAATTTCTGATAAAGAGTTTAAAGCTGTCAGAAATGAATATTTTTCAGATATTAAGAAAGCTAAAACAGACTGCTGGAATAAATTTCTTGAAGAAGTATAAGAAAAAGAAGTTTATAAAGCTTTTAACTATACTAAAACAAGAAGTGTAGCAAAACTTTCAACCTTAGAATATGAGTTTCAGAATGAATCATATACAGCAAACTCTTTTGAGAAAAAATATCAAGCTTTTATAAGAACTCTCTTTCAAAACTCATCAGATTCAGATTCAGAGAAAGAGAATATATCACTTCTCAACTATATTGATGAAAATGACTGAGAATGGCCTGATCTTACTCAAGATGAATTAGAGTTAGCTATCTTCTCAAGTTCAGTTAAGACTGCTGCAGGGCCTGATTCAATTAATCACTTGATTATTCAAAATACATACTTCTACTTGAAGAATGAATATTTTAAGCTCTTTTTCAATCTCTTGAAAAATGAATATCATTCTGAATGCTAAAGAGAAGTCACTGAAGTGATTCTTATAAAACCTAATAGAAAAACTTCAATTCTTAAGTCATATAAAGTAATATCTCTATTGAACTGTCTAGAAAAGGTTTTAGAAAAGATAATAGCTACTTAACTATCTTTTATAAGCTCTATCAGTAATTCTCTTTTATTCAGTGAATAAATGAGAGATAGAAAACAGTGTTCTGCAATTGACACTGTTGTCTCAGTTGTTTATAATATTTAAATAGCAAAGTATAAGAGTCTGGTCTCAACTGCAGTTTTTATTGATATAAAAGAAGCATTTGATTATGTTTCAAAGTCAAAGTTAATTCAGACATTGAAGATATTAAAACTGTCACTTTCTCTAATTTTATTATCTAAAAAGAATTATACAACTTTTCTTTGATGAAAATTCTTTGATGAAATAAAATAAGACAAGACTAAGATAAAAATAGAAGTATCATAAGAATCTTCAATCTCACTCATTTTATTTGTAATATACACTGCATATCTATTCAAAAATAGAAATATGAGAATAGTGCAATCTTCAAGTTATGTGAATGATATTGATCTAGTCTACAGCTCAAAAACTATCAAAGAGAATTTAAAAGTGATTGAAGAAGCTGCAAAGAAAATCTTTGTTAGAGCAGATATCAATCAAATTCAATTTGATATAAATAAAACTGAGTTAATTCATTTTCATTCTAGATTCAATGAGAAAGAACTATCTCTAACTCCTTTAAATAGAGAGATTAAACCTAGTGTAAATGTCAAATGATTAGAAGTATAGTTAAACTTCAAGTTGAATTTTAAATATCACATTTAACAAAGAACTGTCAAGACAGAAAGACTATTGAACAACATTATCAGACTATCAAATACAGAGAGAGATCTATTCTTTCAGACTATGAGATAGTTATATATAGCCTGTATTACATCAGTAGCTGATTATGAAGTTCAAGTTTGATGAAATAATCAAGAGAATTTTACTGAACTCTTTCAAAGTCTGTAAAACAGAGCCTTGAGAAGAATTCTGAAAGCATTCAAATCATCTCCTATTAAAGCAATGAAAATTGAAGCTTTAATTTCTCCTGCTGCTATTAGATTTGAAAAGACCTGTATGAACTATGCTCTGAGAGTTATAAAGATGAGCTTAAATTATATCATCAGAGAAAGAGTCTCTTCTTCATTTTCATTAATTAACTCTGGCAATGAACTGAATTGAAATAGATTTCTTGATTGAAATGAAAATAATTCTTTAAAGAAAATGTCTTCTCAACTGTACAGACTATGCTCTCTGATTAAAAATCAATTTTCTTCTTTAAATGTTGAAAAAGTTGATCATGAGAAGTTATCTCTCTGAAGAGAAAAGCTTGAATCTCTTATAGACTTACAAATAAGTGAACTGTCAAAAGAGAAAGAATATAAACAGGATTTGAAGAGAATTTCTACAATCAATATAAAAGACTCTATTCTGATTTATTCAGATGACTCAAAAAATGAGAATTTGAATAGATTAGATACAGACATTGCTTATACTGAAGATAATATCAATTTTATCTCAGATTTCTGAAATCTAGACTGTGAATCTGAAGTCTTTGATGCTGAACTATTTGTAATAGTGAAAGCTTTCAAACTCATTGAAATAAAATCTTATAAAAGAGGAAATAGTTTGAAAGAGATATGAATATTCTCTGATAGTCAAGCTGCTTTAAAAAGACTTAGAAATAGTCAGATTCATAATAATTAAATGAATCTTGAACTGATCTTAAACTCTGTTTTGAAAATTCAAAAGAGAAGAATATCAAAGCTGATAATTCATCTACACTGAGTTTCTGCTCATATGAATATTCATGACAATGAATTGGCTGATTCAGCTGTAAAAAAGAGTGCAGAATTAAGCAGATCTATTTAAAAAATTGTATCCTGATCTTTTATAAAGTCAAAAATAAAAGAATCTTGTTTAGATAAGTGAAATGAAAGCTGGCAGAAACAAAAGAAGAGTATACATTATTCAAGATTTGAAACAAAACCCAAGTGGAAATCTTGTTCAATTAAATGTAAAAAGAAAATATTCTCATCTATAATACAGCTGAAACTAGAATATGACTATTTCAAATCTTATATACAAAGATTTGATGATAGATTTGACTCAATAGAATGCTCATTCTGCAATACAAATGAGAATTCTGAGTATATTATAATGCACTGTGCATTATACAATAGTCTCAGAGTCAGATTGAACAAGAAGTATGATTTAAATCAATTAAATATGAGATTCTTATTCTCAACTGAGACAGGAATTAAATACTTAATAGACTTTCTATCAGAAACTCAAGCAACTACAAGAAAATGACTAAATTCAGAATTATCTGAATATGAAGAGAAGGAAATCAATCAGATATAGTCTGTTAAAACAGCTATATACTATCTTTTAATAATTTGTTTTGTTAGAGTCTCTCTTTACTTTATCTTTTTCTTTCAATTTCTTTCTATCTATCTATTTAATGTGTCTATCTTTAAGACTGTGTTCTCTTTTCCTTTGTCATGATATTGTCAAATGATTTCAAAGTATGAGAAGATGTTAAAACACTGCAATTTGTAAACAGTTTTTGTATTCTGAGCTGGAATTTTCTGATTTTACATATCTGAAATTGATGAATGTATAATAGTTAACTTTACAGATATAGGAAAAACCCTGAGAACTAAAAGTTCTCAGATAGATGTCATAGTCTCTGACTGTATACATCTATAATTGAAGAATAATAATAATAATAGATCTCATAATTGCATTCAGCAGAACTCAGTTTCTTAGACATGAAAACATATGATTATAGAATATCTTCATTATTATATTACAATATTACTTCTTCTATCACATAGTCAGAGAAGTCAGCTTTAATAACTGTTTTATAATCAGAGTTAAATATTATTAGCAGAGAGATGTTAATGAACATCTTCTTCATCTATGTAAATGCAGCTTCAGTGTCTACTAATCACTGAAATACTGAGTTCTTCTTAATGAGTTCTGTAAGTGATCTTGTAATATCTAAGAAGTTTTATATAAATCACTGATAAAAGTTAGTAAATTCAATGAATCTTTGTATATCTTTCACAGTATATAAAGCTTCTCATTCAAGAATGATGAAGACTTTCTCAGAATTCATTCAAATTCCCTTGTCAGCTTCTATAATAAAATTCAGATACTTAATACTCTTAACTTTAAAATCACACTTGTCAATATCTATCAGTAGTTCTGCTTCTCATAGTCATTGTAATATCTTTCACATATATTCTTAGTATTCTTTTCTGAATTCATCAGTGAAGATGAGAATATTATCAAGATATACATGTAATATAACGAAACTGAAGCAGTGACTAGTCAGCAGCATTATGTAGAAGTAGTTGTTTGAGAAGTTATATAAGTGAGCTTGACTATCTTGCTTGAATAGCAAGCTCATAGGCTACAGAGTTATTGCAAGAATATCACAGATATAATACTTAGTATACTAAGAAGATTGTATAAGATACACAGTAACTCTTATATATATTTCAGTAGAAGAAAAATAAATCACTGACTTCTTTTATAAGAAGTCAGCATCTAGCTATTCTATATAGATAATGAGTGAATATCTTCTCTTATTTCATGAGTGAGAATAGCTGAAGTAATACCTCAGCAGTGTCTTACTATTAAGGAAAAGTAATCTGCTGATCTTATATAGAAGCAGGATTTTTATATTTATTAATCAGATCTTTCTATGATATATCTGAATAATGTTATAGAGTGATTGAAAACTGGTTTAAATAAGATAAAATTATTCACATGAAAGTAATGAGCTGTGTGAAACTGCAACAGAGTCTTGACATGACTGAGAGTATAATAATATTCTTCTCTTTAAGAGTATAGTTCTAATATTCTTAAAATTACTAGATTAAGAGTTATCTTTATTATATAGTAACAGTTATCAACTGATTGATAGTACATGTACTGTATATAATACAAAGAAATAGATGAGTTTTTCTACTGACTGTGTAGATCTTTCTTTCTCATCTTCATTCAAATCAATTATGTAATAAGTAAGTTTCTTATATATTAATTTAGAATATGAAAAATATAGTTAATAAGTGACTTACAGATCTCTCAATATATTTTATTCTATATATGAAATTCTCTGTAAAAGTGATGTATTTTAGAGACAAAGCTAATAGTAGTGACAGGATTTTTTCAAAAAGATCTTCTTCTTCTATAATACATTTTTCTCTTCTCTCTCTCATCTGCAATAGTGAGTGCATGAGAGTATCATTCTTGAGAGATAATAAGGGGCTTATTCTGATGTTTTCTAGTAAATAACAAACATCTTCATGATGCAGCTGCAGCCTCCATGATCATCAAGAAAGCCAGGTTGAAGGTGGAGACAGTGGTTTCAATGAGCCGCGGGAGCACTGCTCTCATTATCACATCTCCTCCCTCTTCTGCATCTCTCACGGCCGCGGTGGTAGTTGCTGTGCCTTGCAGTGAGATGTCATCCCTTCTGCCAGTCAGTTTGTTCATGTTCAGTTCTTCCTCTGCTCCTCTCATCACTGTTGCAACACTGCTCCCTCTCTCAATCAACACAGTGATGTATGATCTTATGTAGTCATTCAGAGAGGATTCTGAGAAGAGCTTGATTTCAGAGACAGTGACTCTGAGAAGCTTAATTCATAGTTCCTCTTCTGCAGCATGTCTGAGCCCTGCTCAGAATACTGCTGAATTGAGTCTGCAGAATCTCACAGTTTCTTTATCTTCTTTCTGTGAGAAGGCTTCAGTGTGGTCTCTGATCAGTATTATTACTTATCTGCACTGTGCTAAGCAGCTGAAGAAGAAGAAGATCTTATATATTTATCTCTTCTCTTACTTCTATTATTTTCATTGCATCTGTAACAATAACTCCTGTCTTTCTGTAAGTATTATCTCATAGAAAGACATTGTATCAGCTCTGATAAGAAGTCTAGATACTTAAGTAGTACAGAGTGAGAGTCTCAGAGCTTTAAGTATTAGCAGATTTTATCAAGACTGAAGAGATCTCTCTTACTCATCTATAAAAGAAGATGAAAATGTGAATCTCTGAGATGAAAAAACATCTTAGAATAACTGATCTTAAGAAGAGATTAACTGATACTGTTATTAAAAGTATTATAAAGATTAATCACTGATTGAAGAGAATCTCACTTTAATTAAAGTAGATAACTGAGATACTTTATAAATTAATAAGTTAATACTTTAAGTATTTCTTATACTCTTCTTACAGCATGCTTCTCTACAGTGCTGCAGTACTAACTTCTCAGCAGACAAAGATATTAATACTGAAGACTTTAACAGTAAAGAATGAGTTTGATAAGAGTGTGATTATTAGTGAGTAGACTCTGAGATTTTCTTCTTTTTACTTTTTCAGCAGGCTGCAGTCTCATTAGAATAGCAGCAGTCTGTAGATTAATAATATTAATCTTTGTTAATTTTAAATATTTCTTTCTTTTCTTATTAACTGCTTCAGAAATTTTACACTTGTGTAGTCTCATTAAACTTCTAAAAAACTCTTTGAAAGAAAATAGAAGAAGAGTGTTACAGAGCTTATAAGACATTAACTCATTACTGTGAAATTATCTCTAAAAACTCTTTGAGAAAAAATAAGAAGTCTTAAGTAGTATTTCTTACTCAACATCTCTGATATATAATAGAACAGTCTCTACTAACTGTCTCATAACTTACAATCTCTTTCTCAGTATTTTTTAAATACTCAAGCAGTTCTTATAAATTCTCTGATAATGAATAATCTTCTTATTTAATAAGATATTGAAGCTTACTGTAATGTATTCACTTATCTAATATTTTCTTCATAAGATATTCAGTATTACTCTCAATCTCAATATTATTCAGCTGAGACAGTTCTGTCTCAGAGTATTACTTATAGAGCTTCAAATAGAAAATATAAAAAACAGAATGAATTGATTTCAATTCTGTAAGTAATTTCAACTCATATATCTGCTTACTCATCACTCTTATTACTGAGAAAGATTCTAGTCACTGCTCACTGAGCTTCTTACACAGTCTCATTATCTTGATATTCTTTACTAAAAGTAGTACTTAATTCTCTATTAAGAACTTCATTGAAAGATATTTTTAATTATAGTATTCTATCTACTACTTCTGAGTGTGATGAATGCTTTTCACTGTCTTCTCATGAATTTTATTCAAAAGTTTCAATCTCACTTTTACTTCTAATACTGAGAAATACTCTGTTCTTTATATCTATTTAACATTCTAACTGTCTATTCTCTTCTTTGAAATGTTGTTCACAATGTCACTGAGTAATGAAGAATTATATTCATAATAAGCATAGAAAGAAGATATCTTTAAGATTGTATTCTTTATATTGTTATATATGAATTCAGCAGTCAGAAGATATTTGAGTCAATCATTCTGATAATATAAATAGAATGCTTAAAGATGCTATTCTAGTGTCTGATTCTGATATTCAGTCTGATTATCTATCTGTGAATAAAAAGTAATACTGAGAAGATATCTTATTATAAGATGATAGTAAAAAGCTGATTAGTATTTACTGATAAAGAGAGATTCTTGATCTGTTATTAACAATTTCAGAGTATTATGATTATGAATGATAATATCTAAAAACAGGTCAGTTAATTCAGAGGCTTTAATCTTTTTATGAGTAAAGATATATCTGATCATCTTTATAAAGCAGTTAATAATGACTAAAATTAAGTTATATTCTTTGACTCTTGTCAACTTCAGCAGATCAACTATGAAATTCATCAATAGATTCTGTTATAAGCTCTTTGAAACAGGCAGTGATGTCAACTCACTGTATTACTTATATCACAGAATCTTTATTCTTTGATAGATATTATAAGTCTCAATATACTCTTTGACATCTGCTCAGAGCTTGTTTTAAATATATTTATATTTTAGAAGCTTCTCAGTCTTCTCTAACCTGAAGTGCTCTGTATAAGAATTATTTTAATGAATTCTTAATAACTTCTGATACACTGCTCTGCTATAAGAGATGAAGACTGAATTATTCAGCAGTAGAAGTTCACATTCTTCTAGTTATCAGTGACTTGATTTCTTAGCAGTATCATCTCACTCAGAATCTGTCTCTTTCAAGTTCAAACTGAATTCTTTCTTCTTCAACTTCTGAATTTAAGCTGTAGTAGAGATGTCTCTCTTCTGTAACTTATTAATGAATTTCAAAAGTAGTCAGATTGAAAGATTGTAGACTGTTTCATTCTTTATCAATTCAATAATTATAAGATATAACATAAGAAGCTTATAATCTTCAGTGTTAGTTCTCTGTGAGAATCTGAGTTTTCTTTCACCTTCTATACTGAGTTGTACAGCTGTCTTACTGACACTGTTTTCAAGCTTCAGAGAATCTTAATCTCCTGCAGCCAGCTTCTTCTGTAGTGATAACAGAGATTCTTTTATAGAATTCTTCTCTGTATCAATGATATTATAATCAGGTCATCTAGACAGTATATCAGTAGAGTTAAGCTGATCTGAACAGTATCAGATATAGAAATCATACTCTGAAAGCAGCTTCACTCATCTGGCTTGACATTCTGTCAAGCTCTTTGTTGTCAAGAAGTAATGCAGATTTACATAATCAGTGAGAACTTACACTGAGTACTTACTATTCTGAAAATAATGTGATCAGATCTTAAAGAATTCAACAATTATTAACATCTTCTGATTATAAGTATTATATCTTCTCTGTATAAGTGATAACTTCTTGAAGAAGAAGATCACTGATCTTCATTCACAGTATTTTATAGACTCTGTGAAAAAGTCTTCTCTCACAGACAATTCATTGTCTGTTTTCTCAGAGATGATTATTCTCTGATTCTTTTAATATTGAAAGATCTTCAGTGTCAACTGTGAAAAGATTTCATAGATTTCATTCTCAGATGCATCAGTCTCACACTGACTGAATAAGTTAAGATTAAAGTGATTCAGTATTGTGATATCTGTGAAAGCTTGTTTCAATTTCACAAACACCTGTGTGATATCATGAATAAGAATAAACAGTTCTATTTTTCTGTCTTTCACACTTCTCTTTAACAGATCTATAAGAGGGACAGTAATCTGTGAATATACATAGATGAATTATCTATAGAAATTTGTAAATTCTAGAAATATCTGCATCTTGCAGTATGTCTGCAGTGCTGGCCAGTTCTCAATGATAAAGACCTGACTTCTGTTCATTGAAATGCTGTTCATCTCAATAATATAATCTAAGAAGTCAATCTTCTGCATGTAGAATGAGCATTTTTCAGTGTTTGTATAGAGTTGATACTGTCTTAAGTGACTCAATACTTCTTGAACATGAATATTATATTCTTTCTCTGATTTTGAGAAGATTAGAATGTTATTCAGGTATACTATACAGAAGACATCAACAAGGCTCTGCAGTGCCTCATTTATATAGATCTGAAAGATGACTGAAGTATTATAAAGATTAAAAGATAAAACAAGATATTCAAAATTACTGTACTTGATATAAAAAACTGTTTTTCAAACATCATCTTTATTAACTCTGATTCTATGATAGATATTCTGTATATCAATCTTTAAGAACATCTTTGCTTCAGATAATTGATTGATTATCTCATCAATTAACAGTAATAAATAGCAATTCTTAATCATCATCTTATTAAGATCTCTGTAGTCTATGTATAAACATAGTCTATCATTCTTCTTAGACACAAAGAGTATAGATGTCTCTGTTGAACTCTTTGATAAATATATTCAGTTCTTTGATTACACTTCTTCAAGATATTTGTATAGAACATTCAATTTCTTTATAGATAAGTTATAAAGAGATCTGTATAGCACTGTTATATCATCTTTAAGATGAATCTTATATCACATCTTAGTATCAGAAAACTTCACTACTTCTCTTTTCAAAAAGATATTCTTATAATCTGTAAAGAGACATCATGTACATCTGTCTTTAATAATGAATACTGCTACTAATCTTGCAGTGAGAGTGATAACTTCTTCATCTGTTCTTAAGTCTTAATCATCTGCTACACAGTATATTGACTCTATCTTTTTCTCAAGATTCTTTTGATGAAACTCTTCAGATTTCTCTATCACTGTCTCTTCATTAGTGAGATGATATCATCACATCTGAGTGACTCAGTCAATGAGAGAATTGTTTTCTCTCAACTACAGAAGATCTAGAATGATATTCTCATCTATAATATTAACTGTATGAAGAAGCAGACTGCTTTTCTTGAAGATTTCTTCTGAGTCTGTGATCACACACTTCACTTGAATTATGCTAAAATGATGATATTTTATTTCATCAGTAAATTTTATATAATCTGATAAGTCTATCTTCTTCTAACTCTTTATTAAAGAAAAGAAATAGAATATGAAGTTGATATTTATCTCAGAGTTAAGTAGGTATCTCACTGATATCTTCTCATTCAGAGTATACATTGTAATTGTAACATGAACTCAGAGATATGAGAGTTATCAATTCTTTATTTCTTTCTTTTCTTTATCTTCTGTGAATATATTTGTCAGAAGAGAAGTTAACTTTAAGAAGATATCTTCTTAATTTCTTCTCTTCTTCAGTTTCTTACAATCACTGCCATAGTAATCATCAGCTCTGCAGTTGAAACAGAGATTTTTATTAAATCTTTTTTAACATTTCTTTACAGTGAGTGAAGAATCAGAATACTTAGAATTCTTCTTTACTTTCTTCACACTGAAGCTGTCATAGTACTGTTTAGATCTCATCATTGATTACTTAGAAGAGGTCTTATTGACCTTTTTCTCAGAGAATTGATTATTCAAATAGATTCAGAAAGTCAGGTTGATAAGCTCAGTGTGATTAATTAATGAACTCTGATATTATAATATTATTATTCACATCTTGTAAGTCAGCTTTGTAAGATAAAGCTATATTTTTAATTGATTTAAATTATCAGTTAATTTCTCTCAATATTCTTTAAATCTTGTATTGAAATCAGAATAATTCTCATTATCTTATTAATATAATGAGTTGAACTACTGCACTGCTGTGAAGCTGTGATTGTAGTAATCTTTAATTTGATTCAGTAGAAAGTTCTTGAATTCTTCTCAAGTTATAGCAGTATTAATACACTCAAGCTTTCTCTTCTTGATGATTCAAGTAGTCACAGAGATGCCTTCAAGAAAGTTAGCAGTGTATATTACTCATATCTTATAAGTATTATACTGGCTTGAGTTAAGGTGGAATTTCTGTTCAAGAATACAGATAAAGCTGTGAAATTCAGATAAGATGTTTCTCTTATATCTCAGAGAATCTCTGATCTTAATCTCTCTATCTTCATGATAGATGTAGATGTGTAGAGGTTGTAGCAGTGATAGAGCAGTTGAAGAGCTCATGTTAAAATATGCAGTGAGTTCAGAAATCTTGAATTTCTACTGAGATAGAGATGTACACACTCTAGAAGATGATGTAGTATTTCTCTCAGAGACTGAAATTGAATTGATTTCAGTGCAGGTGTATGAGATCATATCAGTCTGTTAGAGCTTGACTGGTTCAAATGTGTAATCAGATTAAGTGATTTAAATTGTAATATGATAGAACTGAAGCAGTGACTAGTCAGTGATATTATATAGAGATAGTTGTTTAAGAAGCTGTATAAGTGAGCTTGACTATCTTACTTGAATAATGAGCTTGTAGACTACAGAGTTATTGTGAGAATATCACAGATATAATACTTAGTATACTAAGAAGATTGTATAAGACACACAGTAACTCTTGTATATATTTCAGTAGAAGAAAAACAAATCACTGACTTCTTTTATGAGAAGCCAGCATCTAGCTATTCTATATAGATAATGAACAGATATCTCCTCTCATTTCATGAGTGAGAATAGCTGAAGTGATACCTCAGTAATGTCTCACTGCCAAGGAAAAGTAATCTGCTGACCTTGTATAGAAGCAGGGTTCTCATATTCATCAATTGAATCTTTCTATGATATATTTGAATGATGTCATAGAGTGGTTGGAAACCGGTTCGAACGGAATGAAATCATCCGCATGGAAGTGATGGGCCGTGTGGAACCGCAACGGGGCCTTGGCGCGGCCGGGAGCGTGACAATACAGATGTAAATTCATTAAGAAAATCTCAGAGTACTCAGTTAATATACTTCTGAAATGTACTGAGAGCATTAATCAGTTTAAAGAGTGTGACTACTCATTCAAAGAGACTATATTATGTTTGAAATGCTGTAAGCTACTTATCTTCTTCAGTGATACAAATCTTATGAAATGTGATAATGACATCTAACTTTGTAAATCATTGAGCTTGTTCAATACAAGCTAGAGTTTCATTGATTCAAGATAAAGAATAACAGTTCTTCTTCATTAATCTATTCAATTCTTGATAATTCACACAGAACTGAAGTTCTTCATCTGATTTCTTTGTAAAGAGAATAGAGACTGCAGTGAAAAAGTTGCTAATATGTATGAATTCTTTATTTAACAGATTATTAAGTGTCTTTTAAAGAAGAAGAAGTTCATCTTGAAACATATTATAAAGAGAGTTTCATGATAATTCAGAATTCTTACTGTTCTTCTTTTTCAACTTGATACTGTGAGTCACTTCTGAATCTTATAAGAGAGGTAAATTTGTAGTATTATTATCTTATCAGAAGACATTTAGATATTCATAATATTATTGAGAGAGTTTCATATGAGAATCTGTTATTATAATGCAGAATAACTTTTCTAGAGTCTTTTTAATATTAGTCAGACTGATGAAATAGATTGATACATGATTCTGCTATTAATGATTCTTTCAGTGACTTCTTTTTCTGAGCATTTTATAGGTGTTGACAGAGATCTGTGTCAGATTCATAGTCTTGTAAATATCATTCTTATGAACTCTATTATTGTTAGAGAATATTAAACTTCTGTTTCAAGTATTCAATAAGATATCTTATTCAGATAGTCAGACAAGTTCTAATATAAGATTATAATCAAGATTATCAACTTCATATACATAGACATCTTCACACTGATATTCTCTGATATCTATGTTTAGTTTTATCATGTAACAGATATAAACATCTTTTGAATTATTAAATTCTGCAAGAAGTCAGAGTTTTAATAAGAAGATACATTGAAGATTATAATATCTCACAACTGAAGATTTAATCATTGCATAGTGACATAGATCACTATCTATCATAGCTTTCATATTATACATGTTATTAATCACAGTAGATATAAGAATTACATTTATTGTCATTTTCTCTTCAAATCATTGTCATCTGATCTCTTCAATCTTCTGTTTATGAATTTGAACAGAAGTTAATCTTTTCTCTGTTTTATCAGAGCATTCTCATAGTTATCTTCTGAATCTTTCTTCACTATAATGTAATTGATGCGGACAGGCGCTGATTCATCTCTTGATTGAGAAGATACATAGATTAATTAACAGTTGAAAGCAATGTGTTCTGATCAGTTACAGTTGATGTATACTTTATATTAATGTTAATCAGTGACTTCTTCAGAAGTGATCTCAGAAACTCAGAAGCCTGTTTAAACAGTGAAAACTCTTGCTTATGTATAGACATTTAAATCTATTCAGTTCATAATATCTGCATTATTGCTGTTACTTCTCTTCAGTATGAGTGTATAAGTAACTGAGATGTAATATCTTCTGCCACTGTTCTGTATACTTTTGAGCTTGATAAGATGATCATTCAATGTCTGAAGCTGTGTGCAGAAGTCTTTATAAGTCTGATCTTTATCTACACTTATAAGAGTCTGTAAGAGTTCAAAAGTCAATGCCTTCTTAAGTATGCTAATCTTCATTCAATTCTTTCAAGATTGATTATCTGCTTCTAGAATCTTGATATTGAAGTCAGAGATGAATATTGTAAGAGAAGTGTTTCTCTGTTAAGTACTCTGTAATCAATCTAATACTTTCTGTTGTATGACAGTGTCTTGAAACAGAATATCAAGATGTCTCATGATGTTATCAGATGTTCACATTACTGATTTACATGCTTTTATTCATGAATGAAATTTCTGTTTTATGCAATTCTTTAATTATTCATTGATATACTAATCTTGATTAATTAATGAACTGATGACATCTTCATCTACACTCAGTTTTATGATCATTTCCATTCTTCATGATGAGTAGAGAGTGAGATTAAAAGTATTAAAATATATAGAAGTATCTAAGCATTCTTTCAGTGCTTTTGTATTCAATTCTGTAGATGTTGAAATTGCATAAGTTAATTATTGAATCTCTTTGTATTGAAGTTATTGAGTTGCATGCATGTCTGCTATTTATTACTGTTGTAATTTCAACATTGCTCAGAGTCACTGTGATATCATCTCTATACTCACACTTGAGAGTTCTCTCATATTATTGTTAGACATGATTATATCATTTTATCAGATATATAATATCTGTGAAATCTGAAGAAGTGTAATCATATTTTTATACATCTGAGTGTCAGAACTCTCAGGTCTTTCACTGACATTTTCTTTATAAAATCTTATTACAAAGTCAGAGTGACTGATGAGTAAGCTTCTATCTGAGAACTTGATATCTGCTTAACTGTGTTTCTCTTTCTTACATATTGTTACACATTTAGATATCTCTCAATAAATAATCATTTCTAATGAGAAGATAATATGTGAATAATCATTTCTAATAAGAAGACAATGAATGTTTTTCTAGTATAGAGAGCCTACGCTGAATAGATCAGTATAATATATAGATTTTATATAACAAAGAGAAAAACATTAGAGAAGGAAAGAAAAGAGAAAGTACAAGAATCAGTGATTGAAGTAAATATTTATACATATATATGATGGCTGAGAATTGATGATTGAGAATGGCTAAGAATTGAAGTGTACACATTTGAGAATAAAGCAGTTGAAATCTGTGAAGTGTAATGAAATAGTCTATATAATTGATCAGATGCAGCCCGTCACATGAGAATTTAAGAAGTTAATTGATATTTTTCAGATTTGCTAATCAATAGATTGATGATCAATAGATTGAGAATCTAATTACTTCAGAATTATTTCTTCTAGAACTGCTTCATCTATTATATCTGTATTTATGAATAAATCTCTAGATATTACATAATTAATATATCTCTTCAATTCTTGATTCTTAAGAGCTTGATTAATCTGAGTTCTCTTCTCTCTGTTTTTCTTTTATTCAGGTGACTTTCTTAAAGAATTAAGATAGTAGCACTGAGTGTATCAGTGACAGACTTTATAGATACAGTTTCTGAATATCACTGATCTTTTATTAAGAGTAGTGAAGTTCATAGATTTATTTTCTTTAAGAATATCTATTTCTCTATATCATTTCTTGAAGTTCTTAACTAACTCTATCAAAGATATGACATCTTTATTATATTAAATATTCTTAGCTCATGCTTGTATATAATCTGCATTAATAGCTAGATTTATATTTAAGAAGTCTTTCTTCAAGTTAAACTATTCAGTTATATCTATCTCTTTGATATTATCTTTGATAAGAGATTAGTCATTTAATCACTTCTCTATATCTCTGTTTTTCAGTGCTTTGTAAAGATTATGATATCAGATTCTCACATTATTCTGATAGTTCACAGTTGTGAAGAAGAGTCAATCTCTTAATGAACAGATAATCTTCTTCACATCATCATTCTCACTGTGTACATGTTATAGCTCTGTGACATTCACTGTTTTTTATATAACATCTTGTATCTTTGTTATACCTTCATTCATTTTCTCATATTTCATATATTTGATTTTCCATGTAGTGATCTTGATATCATATACTATCTTGATCTCTGCAGTGACTTCTTCTGAACACTCAGGTTTCAGAGTTTCTTCTAGTTCAGAGAAGATATCAGGTTTATCAAGGTTGATGAAGTCTGATATCTTCTTGTCCTTTGCATATCCTAGCATATACTTGTATCAAAGTTTTCAATCTTCAGGAATGCTAAGGTGTACTGTTGCACTAGACATTGTCTTGTCTGTCATATCAGTTATATTGAATGGATTGTGGAATTGGTTCAAGTATTTGAGAATATGATCAGAATTCGGGGTGTATAACAGTCAAGTATTTCGGAATGTATATGTGTGAGAATCAATCATCTCAGTTCAAATGATAGTTATCAGTTTGAATGAGGATTGAGATTGATGTATCACACTTCTCTTCAGATACTGCTTACCGGGAATCAGGTATGATATAACAGTTGAGTAGTTCGGACCATATACGAATGAGGATCAATCATCTCAGTTCAAATGATAGTTATCAGTTTGAATGAGGATTGGGATTGTGTATAATCGTCTCAGTTCGAATGATAGTTATCTAATTCGAATGAGGATTGAGATCAGTGTATCGCGCTTCTCTTCAGATGCTGCTTACTGAGATTCAGTGTATAACGGTTAAGTAGATCGGACTGTATACAAATGAGGATTAATTATCTCAGTTTGAATGATAGTTATCAGTTCAAATGAGGATTGGAATCGGTGTATTGCGCTTCTCTTCAGATGCTGCTTACCGGGCTCATAACTGTCAGAATGAGTGTCACAGATGAATATGTTGAAGATATATGAATCTTATATGTATCAAGATCTGCTTGTTATATTATCTGTACACTATTTAATATATCTATTTCATACAAAAGATAGAGCTATTTATAGTAAAATATATGTGTGAGTCAAAAGAGCTAGTATAAGTGAGTATTAGACAAGCATTGTAGTAAGCTGATGATAATGAGAAATCTTGAAGGATAAGGTTGTTGTGTTGTAATCTAACTACGCGAGTTACACTAAATGAATAGGTTGAGGTGGCACGTGACTAGAGTAGGTGTAGTAATCATCAATACCTTCCCTTGCTACATCATGACCTATAATAAGCCATCACTCAGGGCCTCTCTCATTCTCAAATCTTTCAAAAATACAATAATAATTAATTACATGAATCAGACTCTGATTTTCTCATTAGAAAAGACATTCATACAGCAATAACTGTAAAAATCAAGAAATACATGCAAAATTCATTGATTCACTGTATTATCATTATCATTCAATCATTTCTTCTTCTTAATTTTCTGAATGCCAACTCTTTTGATAAATTCTTCAAATGCAGGCTTCATCAGTGACTTGATAAGCTTATCAGCTATATTTGCTGTAGAATCAATATATTTCATCATAATCTCTTCTTTTTCAATCAAATTGTGAAGAATATGATATCTAATCTCAATGTGATGTAATCTTCATATTAAGAATTCCCTCTTTACTAGATCAATTACTCTCTTATTATCAACTTATAGATGTGAGTATATTTTTGCTTTTTCATCATCTATCAACCTGATGTCATATAACATATCATTCAATCAGATTATCTCACAAGCTGTCTCACTAGCTGCAATATATTCAGCTTCTGTGATTGATTTGATAATAAATGTCTGTCTCTGTGACTGCTATGAGATCAGTGACCTGTTAATCAATATAACATAGTCAGTAGTTGATTTATATTGAGAATCCGCCCTCACCCAGTCTGAATCACAGTATATCACAGAACTCAGACTCACATCATCAATCTTCTTTCTGTATAATATGCTATGGTTTTTCATCTTCTTGATATAACATAGAACATGCTTCAATGCTGCTCAACATGCTTTGTGTGAATGCAAGTTAAAATATGAGAGATAGTTAACTGTAAATGCCAGGTCTGACTGACTGCTTAAGATCAAATACTGCAATGATTTCAATTCTTGATGATATCTTGTAGCTGTAAAGTCATCATTTAATTTATCATTCTCATCAGGTGAAAACTTCAGTTGTATGCCTGTCATCATTGAGATCCCCGCAGAATTCATCTTATTCATGCTGAAATCTTCAAGAATCTTCTTAATATAACAGCTCTGTGTAACTGCTAGATCATTATTTCTCTGACATTTGATTTTCATTTCAAGATATGACTTGATCTCTTTAACATTCTTTGTCTCAAATCTCTTTGTAATCTCTCTTAATACTTAGTCTAATTACTGTTCTTGAGATTCTGTCACCTGACAATCATTGACATATAATATCAGATAGATCTTGTGAACAGAGTGATATAGAAATTCATCATCATAAGATGATATCTTGAATCTCAATGTGATGAGGTGTTTCATTGCTAGAAAATATCATACTCTCACAGCTTGCTTCATTTCATATAGACTCTGATAAAGTAGTCTTACCAAGCTCTCTCTGTCATGCTTTACACCTGTGAGCAGTTGCATATAGATCATCTCATTCTGTGATAGTATGTCATTCAAAAATGTGAATATATAGTCAATTGATTTGACCTTCTATTCTTTAGCAGTCAATATAGTGAATAGACTATGTGATATAGACCCTGATATCACTGCAGTATACAATCTCATATAATAAATACTCTGCTATTGCAAGAACTCTCTAATCACTCAGTGAGCTCTAAAGTGAATGATTTCTCTCTTATTATTGAATTTTCAATCATATACTTATTTATCTGTAAGAATATTCATTTTCAGAGTCTTCTTAACAATAATATATATCTTCTTCTACTCAAATATCTTAATCTTCTTTTTCATTGTCTTATGTCAATAGTCTCAGTCTGAGCTTCTTTTGACTTTCATTAGTGTAGTTAATCAGTCTGTCAGAATACTTAGAATAGAATCATTCTCATTAACAGAGTCTTCAGACTCTTTATTCATAATAAGCTGTGTCTCATCATCTAGAAGATAGATTGAATCAATTACACTCTCTAAGTTCTCATTGATAATTATCTTCAAAATATCTGACTTTTTCTTCACTAGTCTTTTTAGAAGACAGTGTTGTCATTCCTCTCTGATATTTAGAATGTTCAATTCATTAGGCAATTCATTGAATTTTCTCACTGTATTTACAGGTGTGTTTGTACTCATGTCAAGAGCTTCATCAAATATGACATCTTGTGCAATCTCAAGATAACATACAACAGAATCTCACACATAATATTAATATAATTCTTGATATTTAATCAGCTGTTATTTCTTGCTGTCAGTTCTATCTGTGAGCTTATTCAACACTTTTAAATCCTTCTTGTAGATCTTGCATCTCTATCTCTGTATTCAATGAACAGAAGATTACACCTCAGTTCATGCTTCAAAAGATGTAAGTAGTGTTTCTTTCTTACATTCAAATATCTTTGTTGATATTGAGAATGTGTTGATTATCATAATCACAGCTTGTATTACTTCATCTCAAGGTTCTCTTTCTAATTCACTATTAAATAGTAGGCTTTGTGTCTTTTCTGCAACTATTCAATTCACATGTTTCACTGAGCTATTTGATTGTGATGTGTCAGATGTAGTGATTTCATATACTATTTCTTTACTCTGACAGTAGGTCTTAAGTTCTTGACTTTTGAACTCTTCTTCATCATCTCAGTGTAGAGTTTCAACTCAACATTATATAGTTATTTTAATACTTATAATAAAGTTTATTAATCTTGCAGTAGATTCTCTCTTTCTTATTATAAGAATTGCTCATCTATAATAGATTGTATTATTCATTATACTCAATCAGTAGCTTACACTCTCTCTAGTGAAAGTGTCATTCTTATTAAAAAGTGTTTTTTCATTCTCTGTCAGATTAATGAAGAATCTCATTACTGATTTAATAACTCATATCATAGATATGAAGATTGAATATGTCATTTTTATCTGAATACAGACTTTACAGAATGATAAAGCTTATTAATCAATAATTCTCATCTCTAAATATAAATCTACTGCTATTTTTACAATATTCATGAAATTTAAATATTCTAGCTTTTAATATCATTACATTATTATAAGTTCTATAACCTTTGTATTATTTCTTTCAGATAGTGTTAATATTGTATTATCTTTCATCTATAATGTGTTCACAGGTTTAAAATCATCATTGAGTATAGCAAATCAGATCAAGTCTCTGTATATAATCAGTCTTTTCATCTCATAGATATCATTCTCATTTAATCTTGCTGTAAATGAGAATATACAGTCAGAAGACATAATCAATATAGCATGATTATTCTTATATATCAACTGCTTAGAGGTATAACTCTAATATACAAGCTTACTCATACTCATGAGATTCACTTCTAACTTCAGAATATAGCAGATATTATTTAACAGTATATTCATTTCTTTCACTGAAATCTTCATATCTTCTATAGCTATAGCAGAGATCACTGTTCTATCTATTATTTTCAACATCACTTTCATCTTCTGAGGTTTTGTCATAACAAGATTTCTGTGAAGTGTGATATAAGTATCTGATTCAGAGTCTAGAATTCAGATATCTTTTCCTATCTAATCACTTATATAGATCTTTTTTTTAATGCAAAATACTTATTTCATAACATTGTGAATAGAAGCAGTATCTGTATTCTTTACATTCTTGTCTTTATTCTTGTTTCTATTTATATTGAAGTTCAAAGAACATTTCTCAGAGTATTTCTTTCAACAGTTAGTCTGAATATAATTAATCTTTTGATAATGATAGCAGGTTCTCACATCATTACTTTTACATTCAGGTTTGAATTCAGTGTTCTTGTTCTTATTATTGTCTTTGTTCTTGCCTTTCTTATTCTTGTCTTGAGTGTTATTCGCAGGATTTTTCATGAATTCAGTACTACTATTTTTCACAGTAGAAAGATGTAGAAGTATGTCACAGTATAATCTTATAAAGTCTTCTTTTAAAGATTTCAAATTGTTCTTATTGATCTGATTCATTCTATTCTTTATAAAGAATGCTCAATCTCTATTAACTTCTGTCAGTAATCTATTAAAAAATATAACATCTTCAATTTTATATCTCAGATGAATATAATCAGTTCTGATAATAATTAATCATTTAATAAAAGCTCTGTTAGATTCTTTGCTTTTAAAGATTATTTTAATAAGCTCTTTAAATAAATAAGTTCTGTATATAGCAGATCTCTTGAAAAAGTTATTCTCTATAATAGTTTATAGAGTATAAGCTGATAATTTGAACTTCTTAAGTATAGTGAAATGAGTCTTGATCTGCAGAGTAATTACAGACTATATATAATTATATAATCAAAGATTGTGTTCTTTTCAGAAATATTGTATATTTATAATAGTATTCTTATTAAGATTATTATCTTCAAGAAT